AACACCAAAGAATCAAGACCATATATTGCAACACGCATAACCTGAGGAGTCACTCCCATTGGTTTTTGCCTCCGAAAAATTTCACCCATACCATGGGCGGGAACTGAAAATCCACCCTAATCGTCGCATTATAAAAACCCACTCACCTACTAATCTTTGTGAGGTGATATCCGTCTCACTCCAAAATTCGTTTCCTGCGTAAAAAAATATTATCCAGAATTTCGGCAGGAGCTGCTAGCGAAGCGTTCGCGTGTCATGACCGAGGTACAAGGGGACCCACCACCGCCGGATGCCGAGCGCTGCCGGAAGAACGCAGGCGACGGGTGGCGGTGCCGATCGCGGAGGACTGATGACTCGAACTTGTGCGAGAAGCACATCAGCATGAAGCGTTCCTCATCCTCTTCCTCGGCCGGCGCCGGTAGGGTTAGAAAAAACCGATCTTCTGTCCCCGGAGTCGGTGGCGTGCGTTCGAAGAGGAAGAAGAACGGCGGTTCCTCCTCCTCCTCCGAGGAGGTGATCCCGGAGAAGAAGTCGAGGATCAAGGTTGCGGACAAGGATGGCGAAATTCGTGACGAGACGGGGGAGGATGTGAAAGACGACGAAAGGCCGAAGTTTGATCGGGGAGTACGAACCTCGAGGAATAAAGATCCAAATTTTTATTACGAGGGTGATTGTAGTTGCGAAGGCGTGGAATTTGGTGAATTTGGTGAAAAGGATGGTTCTTTGTTGAAGAAAAAGGATGTTAAATCACAGGAGAAGGAAACACAAGTGATGAAAGACGAAATGAAGGGTTCTGATGAGGACGCGGGGTTACAATTAGCCAAGACGAGGAAAAAGAGTGGTGCGGTGAACTCTGGTACACAGGAGAATAATGGCAAAAGTCAGGAAGTGCAAGAGAAGGTAATCTTGGCGACAGAGAAAATCAAGAAAGAAGAAAATAACTCTGCTTGTGACTCAGAAACTGTGTTGATGGGTAAAGACATTATTGGGAAAGTCGAGATGGGTTCTGGATCGAGCTCTAAGAAGATCAAAGGCGAAGGCAAGAGAATGCAGGAAGAAAACATAGCAGATATGGAACTGACAGAAACAAAGCCTTCAGAATCAGTGAAATCATCCAGAGTTAGCAAATATATAAGTGATGTATGATTGTACTCTACCTTGAAATCTGGTTTTTTTGTCTCTCTCTCTCTCTCTCTCTCGTTCGTTTGTTCTTTTTTCATCCTTTTACACTAGTTCTACTTTATAATGAACAGGATCCGAATGATCCGTTCCAGATGTGTCATCAATGCATGAAGAGTGATAGGAAAGTAGTTAGGTGCAGCAAATGTCCTCGAAGGCGATATTGTTTTGAATGCGTTCGGACATGGTATATTTTTCTTTGTTTTTCTCATGTAATAGAATTAAGAGCTAGTTTCTTATTTCCAAAACCCCACTATTTCTTCTTGCATACCAGATTCTACTTTATGGAGATGGTTTTTTTTAGAATTAGGACTTGTTTTTTTGTGGCACTCATAGGAAGTTAAGTGCCTTTAAAATGTTGCTCTCTATTGACATCAAACTTTTAAAGCCTGTTTTTCCTTGGCCACTTTTGTACTTTTCTTGTTTGGGTTCTTATTATAGGTATCCGGAACTATCAAGGGAAGCCATTGCAGAGGCTTGCCCATGTTGTAGAGGAATTTGCAACTGTAAAGCTTGTTTGCGTGGAGCTAAGATACCAGAGGTAGAGTTGAATATCATCCTATCATGCATCAAACCTTTTTTCTTGTTTGCTTTTTAACATTTTTATATGTTATTGCAGAGTCTGTATTCTGGTGATCCAAAAGATGATGGAGAAAAGATACAGTTTCTGAAGTATCTCATTGGTTACCTCCTGCCATATGTGGAACAATTTTGTGATGATCAGATGGTAGAGAAGACTGTGGAGGCCCAGATTTGTGGTAAATTTTATGAATGATTATTACACTCATGTTGTTCCTGTGGACTTCCTTATATTGGAATTTCTTAGAGCTTTTGATGAAATCTGTATGTCGTTTCAACTACAATATCAATTGTCATTTGAAAATGTTGAAGTGTATGGTTGAGTTTGACGATAGGACTGATGTGGTCGGCTAAGTGGATGAATTGCTTGGATACACGCGTGTACACTCGCACTTATGTAACTGGGAATTAATATGGTATCATGGAGTTTGGGCAAGCTGCATTCTAATTTATTTGATTGCATTGACAAATATATACCTTCTATGTAAACATTTTTTTATAGAAATGAATGTCATTAATGCCCAGAAGAGGAAATATGTGCAATAAAAAATGGAAAGTGGAAATATTAATTTGTCCTCTGAAATAAAAGTCCCATGTCATGTCATGTACTGTGCCATTTTTAGTTTTGGAAGTTTGAACCAGTTGTTACAAAAAGGTTCTTTATTTAAGTAAGGTCACATGCCAACAAGTCTTTATTTAGTACCATTCTGCTGTTTACATTGTTGTTGGAATTACTATTTGTACAGGCTCATCTGATGTGAAGATAGAGAAAATTGACTACGCGCAAGATGAACGCATGTATTGGTAAGACTTGGGCTTGTATCAAATTATCCGTGTGTGTAATATTGCTGGTTTGAATGGTTTGAGGTTTCTTTGTGCAGTGACCATTGCAAAACCTCTATAGTTGATTTCCATCGAAGCTGTCCAAGTTGTCATCAGTATGATCTATGTGTGACCTGCTGCAAGGAAATTCGAGAAGGCTGTTTGAGGGGTTGTGAACTTCTACACTTTCCTTATAAAACTAGAGGAAAAGATTACTTACATGGATTAAGTTATAAAGTTCCAGAAAAACAAGTGAAGTCATTACGAAGCAACAAGTTAGATAGTATGCCTGAACAGATGCCACTCCCAAAATGGGAAGCAACTTCATCAGGTGAAATCCCTTGCCCGCCAAAGGAAAGGGGTGGGTGTGGACAAGGCAAATTGGAGCTGAAGTGTATTTTTGACGATAGTTGGCTGTCAGAGCTGAAAGAGAAGGCAAAAAGGTTGACTGCTGCTTGTGGACCTGCTGAGGTGTATCATAGCGCCACTCAGTGTCCATGTTTTGAATCCAATGATGATGGGCAGCTAAGAAAGTGTGCTTATCGAGTTAATTCCGATGACAATCACCTCTACTGTCCTTTGGCAAGTGATATCAAGCTACAGGAACTGGAGCACTTCCAGAGACACTGGACAATGGGCGAGCCCATTATTGTGCGGGATGTTCTCAAACTTACTTCTGGATTGAGTTGGGACCCGATGGTGATGTGGCGTGCTGTTCGTAAGGTTGTATTTAAGAAAGGTTCCTCTGACTTGATGGTAACAGCACTAGATTGCCTTGACTTCTGTGAGGTAAATTCTCCCAAATCATGAGTTTGATTTTGTCATGATATATTGATATTTTCCCTATATGTATGCGTGTGTAAGTGTGTGTATTTTTAGTTTTATTTTATTTTTTTTCTGATGGGCCTGTTTGCCTGTCTTTTTTTATAGCTTTATGTTAAGTATGCTAGACAGATAATTCTGTTTTCTGAATAAATTCTCAATAACATTGTAACAGCAAGGTAAAAAATTCGAAAAATTGTGAAAAAGCATTTCAACAGTTTTTTTTTAAAAAAAGTATTTAAGAAATTATCGGCAAAGGTCATGCTTCCATCTAGATTATTTCTTAGTGGATTGAGCTTTGAGGAACATTCACCTGTCATTCACTTATGCGAGGCCCCCGCAATAATTTTGTTTTGTTGTGGACCTGTAGGTTGATATAAACATTCACCAGTTTTTTAAAGGATACACTGAAGGTCGCAGACATTACACTTCTTGGCCTGAAATGCTAAAGCTGAAGGATTGGCCCCCTTCCACTTTATTTGGGGAGAGGCTGCCGCGCCATAATGCAGAATTTCTTAATGCCTTGCCCTACAAAGAATACACTCATCCAGACTCTGGAATTTTAAATTTGGCTGCCAAGTTAACCAAAGAAATGCTCAAACCAGATCTGGGGCCTAAAACATATATAGCCTATGGCTATCCGGAAGAGCTTGGACGTGGGAATTCAGTAACTAAGCTTCATTGTGATGTTTCAGATGCGGTAAGGGTTTCTAATTATTTCCAGATTTTTATATTTTATATTTTTATTTTATTTTATTTTATTGAATAGCATTAATCTAACTATGTTGCACAACACATTTGAAGGACAGTTTGATCATCATACCTGCCAACCCATTGTAGTCACTACATAAAAGCAAGCCTTTCAAGTTCAATAACCTTTCTTTTGAGAACCAGGCTGGATTGGCCAGTTCAATAAGATGTTTACAATTGTTGGGCAAGGAAACCAATCAATGAATGGTCTCGCAAGAAAACCAGTTATTGAATGGTTGAATTGCTGAACTGCTCCAAAATCTATTAAGTTATTCAATTTATTTGGTTTTTCTATTTTTTGTTCATTATTGTATTCTGAAACTAACACAAATTGTTATTGTAAATGTATCAATTGTTTTTTTAATTAATTTAAAGTTTTATATTATTCTCAAATTTCAAAATATTTGAATTATGATGTTGCTTCAAATATAATATACATTTTTATAGAATACTAATTACTTTGATATTGATTTAACTATGGCCAAATTTGTTAAGCATTGAACTTATTGCTTTGTCTTTTTNTGCTTTGTCTGTTTGATGATTTGTCCATTTTTAGAAAATTGTCCATAATGTACCAAGTAATGAAACTACTTATGACTAGCAGTTCGATTATCTTTTTGGTTGGATTGTTTCAGTTGATAGATTGAAATGAAGACTTGTTAGATCACTATGATATTTAGTACTATGAATTCAGTGAAGTTATTCATTTGACTGCGTGAGGATATAATTAGTTTTCTACAGATCAATGTAAGTCTTAACCTATCACTATTCTTCTTTGGTAATAAATATCTTTCTTGGTTTATATATATGTTTGATTTTGATATGTTGATTTGTTAATGCTGGTTGATTTGTCTGCCATGTAAATTTGTAAAGGGTGGCAGTTATGGTGGCTCCTTATCAGCCATGGCGGCTACTCTGGCGGAATTTGGCCTTGCCACCATCCGTCATTTTTTTTTTATCGTTATTGCCACCATCCGTTATTAATAATACTGATTGTAACTTACCGTCTTAACGTCTGGCAACCATGTATATTTTGGAACATTGTAATCTCACCTTTTCTCACTTTGATTTTTATTAGTCTATCTAAAGAAATAGTGTCAATTTTGTTTTATAATTGATAGGAGGGAAACGGTACATCAACTAAGGGGTAAAACATTTTTTGCCACCTGTACTTTACCTATTTTTGGGTTTGTTTGCACTTTAAAAAATTGTAGATAAAAACTTACAGCAGAAGTAGAAAAACTGTGTCATATTCACCATGTTGGTTTTTTATGTTCAACTTGACAACTGTCTGCTTCTTTGCCTTGAGGCTTTATCTCATAACCTTTGGGTGCTAGATCTGTAAAGAAGAAAAACAAAAATCTTATTCAATATTTGAAGTACTTAAGCAAATATATATAAAATGATGTAAGCTAAAAGTCATATTTCCGGATACACGACTTGCTGATTTTCCTCTTAGGTTAGTCATTGAATTTCATATATCTCCAGCTTTTAGTTAATAAAATGAGATGTATTTGTTTATCAGACAGTTCAGTTTTCTTTCAGTGTTTTATTTGCTAGTATTTGTGTGCTATTGTTGCATATGTGATGTCCAGGTTCTATTTGTTAAATTTGCAATAGATTTTGCATTTATATTAGTTACTTTTGTGTTTGGAATAGTTATTATTTAGATGTGGGGCTTTTCTTATTTTTCTGTTTTGTGCTTTACCCTTCATTCATTTTTAAGTTCACACCACATTTTTGTTAACTTGCATTTGTAAATATTTTAAGTGTGTGGGTTATGGGAACTTCTCAGGTGAATGTGTTGATGCACACTGCTGATGTGGATCCAAGTTTATATGATCTTGAAAGAATTAAAGGACTAAAACAAAAGCATGCTGCGCAAGACAAAGAAGAACTCTTCAGTAGTGTCAATGCAGATGATAAAAGGACTGAAATAGCCATGCAGGAAACAAGTGTCAGCCTTAATAAGGCTAAAGATGGTCTTGAGCAGTCTCACTCTGCTGAGCAGAGTAAAATTGTTGATGCCACAGTGAATGACAATGAGCCCTCTGTGGTGGATCCTGATTCTTTTCTTGAAGAAATTAAGGATAAGGCCGTGCTTCCAGACAATGTTAAGGAATCAAATATGGTTTCTGGATTGCCATCTGCAAATGTTGATGATATGGTTGAAACCAGGAAAGTAACGGAGGGAAGCTGTAAATATTTTAAACGGCGTAAAAAAGTGAACAAAAATTCCGAAGGTTTGTCAGCAGAGAATTCAGAAAGGATCAACATTGAGGCAGGAAAAGGTAATTATAGTTCCTACCATTTTTGTTATGCACTCCACAAGGTGTGTATTTTTTTATTTTTTTTTTATCTTTCAGATTAATCTTATTAGCACTGCAAATGGACTATAGATAAAGAGGAGGGAGGTGCACTTTGGGACATTTTCAGACGGGAAGATGTTCCGAAGCTCGAGGAGTATCTTAGAAAACATCATAAAGAATTCAGGCATATTTATGGTTTACCGGTGGAGCAGGTAATGATGTAGTGGAAACATAACTAAACACATGTTGCTGTAGGGCAAGGGACTTATAATTGCTTCATATTGTAAGAGAATTTGGTGTTATTGTGCGTATTTATTTCTTGGTTTCCTAGCACAGCTGCTTTTGTCTAATTTATTCTTTTATTTGTCAAATTCTCTTTTTTCATCATAGACTTCGGCTAAACTGCAAATTGTTTTTGCCAAGCTATTTTACCACTTGAATTTCTTATTAGCTCATGCCATTTATTTTCTTGAATTTCAGCTGTCATACACCATCAGTTTGTCTAATCTCTAGGGTCATTCCCATCATTATGGTTTGAAGCCAAAATAACAAATATGGGGCAGATCTGAAATCCTCGCACTTGCTAATCATGCAATTTCTTCTCTGTTTGCGTTCAGTAATGATATTTCCTTTGTATGATTGCATATCTGATTTGTGGATCAAGTTAGTTTTGCATTCTAATTGTAAATTTAATTTTCATAGGTTGTACATCCAATTCATGATCAAAGCTTTTACTTAACCTCTTATCATAAAAGGAAGCTCAAGGAGGAATTCGGTTCGTTGTTCAGCTTTACTCACTTGTGCTTTTGTGTTTTCTGTTATATACCTTTTGTTATTAAATGCGTTTTTAAAATTTATATAGGAGTTGAACCTTGGACTTTTGTGCAAAAACTCGGAGAAGCTGTGTTTATTCCTGCTGGATGCCCTCATCAAGTTAGAAATCTTAAGGTACAGTAAGCATCTCAATGTAAACTTTTCCATGCAATAATATTTATCTTGGCAATACATTGATTATCTATACCCTAAATGCCAAAGAGTTGATCTAAAACGCTTGGGTTATGTTTGGAATCTATCTAAAAAGCTTATCTAACAAGCTAGCTATCATAAGTTAATATTGAGTTGTATAATTGATGTTTGCTTGTTGTAATTTTCAGTCTTGCATTAAAGTTGCTCTCGACTTTGTTTCACCTGAAAATCTTGGAGAGTGCATTCGATTGACCGAGGAATTTCGTGCTCTTCCCCAGAACCACAAGGCTAAGGAGGATAAGTTAGAGGTAAAGTTGCTTTTGCTAACCTAGTTGTTTAACCTCATGGTGTTGTTTTATTTATTGGTCTACGGAAAATTTTTCGATAGTGGTTGTTACAAACCTAGGGGATGCTTGGATATAAAATATTTTGATTTTGTTTGGATTTTCTATTTGGTGTAGTTAGTTTTGAAAAAACTGGTATTGTTAGTTATTAGTGGATTTTGAGTTTATATTAAATAATATTTAAAATAAAATAATTAAAGTTGATTTGATGTAAAAGTAGGAGAGAGATGATGTGAAGTGATGGTTAGTTAAAATTATGTGAGTGGATGAATAGTGAATTAAAGTTGATGTAATATGTAATAATGATCGAGTGGTATTATTTAATTATATTAATAATATTGAGGATAGTGAGGTTCAGTTAAGGTTGAGTTAGATTTGAGTTAAAAGAACTGATTGGTTAACAATGATTGGAATTTTTTCTAGGGTTTTTGAATGTGAGTATCCTTTGATGTGAATAGCCATATATATAGATAAGCTATATGGAGGCGTATAGGCTGTGATATATGGGCACGCCACTTTTCAAACTCAAGCTGGACTTGTGGAGGGTCGAACCATTGAGATTGAACAAGTAAAGCTGATGTTCTTTAGTTTGTGCTTTGGTGAAGAAATCTGCCCTTGCAGTTCTGAGGGCTTTTGATGACAATGAGATTGGGTAAAGCATGCATCGCTATTAATATGTTTTGTAAGTTCATGTTTCACAGGATCATTAGCAATTTGTATGGCTCAAGTGTTATCACAAAGAAGAGGTGTAGGAGCATCGTATCAAATACTAAAATCAGCTAACAACCATCGAAGCCATATAATTTTTGAAAGGAGTAGTGGCAAGTGCTCGAAATTTTGCCTTTGTGCTGTTGTGCTAGATCAAGATACAACTATTTTCCATGCCATGTAAGAGAACCAAGAAAATGCAACTGTGCGCACAACTTCTCCCAAAAAATAAGGAACAAAGTAGGCAATGAGAAGAATTTGAGCCATCTCAATGAGATGGCATGGCAGTGTTTTCTTTCCACAACACCATTTTGAGTATGTGCACCAGGATAAGAGAGTTAGGCAAGAGTACCCTCAGTGGTAAAAAACTAAAGAATCATTTTGTTCAATCACATGAATAAGTGTGTGCAGAAGTGCACCACTATCGTGAACGTAGCGTTGTTGCAAATAGGAACACATTGCATTGGCTGTCCGAAAAGTGGAAAGGCTATGGACTACTGTTCATGATGGTAACCATCACTTCCATCATTAAACTGCCATACCCTGATGTCAACAACATTACTATTATCAGCCTTTCGTTTGGGTCCATACTCAGCTAAGTGGAAAGCCAGACCATAACCTCTCAATATGATTTCAATAGAAAAAGCCTACTCCCGATAATTCTGACCATCAAGTGTGATATGGATAGCAATTGCATTAAGTTGCGACATGATTCGATGACGTATGACGGTAAAAGTGCCTTCGCGATATGCGAATGGTACGGGAACAACGATGTTTCATACACACAACAAGAAGCCGCAATGAAATATGAATGAAGGTGCTGCGATGGACAGGACCACATGAAAGATGTGAAGACAAAAAAAATGACGAGTGTTGGGATGAATTAGAGTACACAAACTCTAACCCCGACAAGAGGCAGATCAGAAAAGGGCATAGTGGACACTAAAACCTCACAAAAAAATAACCGAGCAGACAGAAGCTGCAGCCATCCCCACAATCTCCATTATGTATCATGCTTCCAGCAGTCGCCTGGTAACAAAAAATGACCGAAAGGTCAATCCTCGGGCAGCGAGGCTATTGGCGTGGGAGGTGAGATCCGAATGTTACCCTATTTGTGTGGCTGTGATATCATGTTACAAACCTAGTGTTTTTAAATGTGTGTATCCTTTGATGTGAATAGCCATATATATAGATGAGCTATATGGGCCTTGATATACTTATTAGTGGTATGGTGATGATATACTTAATAGTGCTATGCTGATGAAATTAACAGAAGATGGTGACTGGCCTTTGTTAGGCTTAATTAGTAAATGTGTCTGGCTACCTTGTTTTTCATGTTATATAAAATGAAATGTTCAATTTTATATAATGGGGTAACAGTGATAAGGTATCTTATAACCCTCCTATTTTTTTTTAAATGTCATTTTAGTTTTATCAACAATTAACCAAATAAATGACATTTTGGATCATTTGTATATATTTTTCCATTATTACCTTCATCTAGCTAATAAATACATTACGTCTTTTCATATTCACTCTTCAATCTTTTCTCAAAACATCCATCTTTATCCTCATTAATAATGAGGGTTATTATTGGCAAAAAAAATATTCTTAATTACTGTGCAACTTCTCAAAACGACACTTATTAAAAATAGGAGGGAGTATGTATTTTCTATCTTAGAATTTTGTGAGATGCCAATCAATTTTTAAAGTGGACGCCATTGTGCCTTCACAGTTTCCTTTGGAAGTCGTAAAACTTAATAGTTGCAGACCAATATATACATTCTTGTTACGTGAATTGAATTTTTTTCTTGGGCGGATGACTAATTCCTACTGCATTCCTTGATGTAGGTAATGAAGATGGCTATACATGCTTTACATGATGCTGTGTCTTCTCTCAGCGAACTTGTCTGGTAAGTATACTCGTCACATGCCAAAGCACTATGATTATTCAATTCTCTATTTAATCCCTTTACCAACCAAGTTGAGTTTTAAATGTTTATTTCTCAAATATTGCTTTCGGGAAATATGGTCTTTGATATCTTCAAATTGGGCTTGATATTGAAATGTCAAAAAAATGACTACGCTTCCTTTTTCAATAACACGAGTTCTTTTCTGAAGTTCTCTTTATCCTGTGCCAGTCATCAGATTGAAATGCTAGAACATGTCGAATTATTGGTCTTTTGAACTGAAGTTGGCAGTAAGGAATTACTAGCCAATTGAAGCAAAGTCGTTTTATTATTATTGTTGTTATTATTATTATTATTATTATTATTTTTATTATTATTTTTTTTTTCTGGTGTGTGCTGTTAGTTTTTCTTTCACATCTGAACTAACATAAAACTTAGTCCTGTAGAACAAGAAGAGAAGGCAAGCTAACTGATGGAAGATCCTTCTGCCCGAATTGTTCTGCTGCGCTTGATTTTGGAATATTGAACTTTTGCTTAGTCACCTGCCCTGACTATTTATTATTCCTGTATATTTTGATGTGGTCAATCTTAATCCTAGAAGTTACTCAGTTACATTCATGTGCACTGTCACATTTTGAACATGGCCTCCTTTTGTCATTTGTAAGTACTTACTCAGAACTATCTTGTACTAGTAATCTTTTGTCATTATTACTGCTACAGCTGTGTGAATTAGTTACTAAACTCAATGTGGTGTTGCCACTTTTATGTACAAAAATTGGGCTTCTGTTCAATGATGATTGTTTGAAGCATGTAATGAGTGGAACATTATCTT